TCAGGGGGTGCAAGGGCGTTTTGATCAAAGCTCGAGGGAAGGGGGCTAAGCTGAGGTTTGGGAAGACCGACGTAGGATGGAGCTCGATATCGTTGAAAGTCATTGTGGACTTCGTTTCTTTTGAGCTTGGCTCCACATATTTCAGAGCATGCGGACGGGTGTTGCAGCAAAAAGTGGGAATTCCGATGGGTAAGGCATCTAGCCTGGCGTTGGCCTCTTGTGTGTTTTTAACGAATTCATGTTCTTGACATCATTGGGATGTGACCAGGGGTTGGTAAATGGTGTGCGTATGGTCGACGATGTTTCTCTGATGATCCGCTGTAAGAAAGGGGATACGGCTTCCATCTTGACTGCTGGGCGAATTCTGGATAGGTTCAGGTCATGCTATGATGACAACCTTATTTTGGAACAAACGAACGATGGCGATTGTTGGGATTTTCTGGGCTGTGTTCTTAAATCTCTTGGTTGGCCATGGGGGGTACAATGTGTGGCTCTGCATAAGAACCAATGGAGTTACAAAGAGGAGGTGTTGAGGTTTCAGAACCTGCAGGATTATGACTCGTGTTCCAGTAAGCAACAGAAACTGGCTATGATTGGGTCCTGCCTCCACAGGGCTCGGGCGTACACTACAATGAGAGGAACGGAGGTAGCCTTTCTGTTCACCTTGAAGATTGAGCTCCGGAATTCCCAGACAACTATTGTGACAACAGCCTGAAGACGTTCTCAAGAAAGTTTGCGGGGGTGTGGGACCACTGGGTGGCTGTTTTGACAGGCTGGGGGAAACTTTTCGCTGGCTTGGCAAGGCCCGGGGGGAAGTACGATAGCAAAAAGGGGGGGACGGGGGCCTGGTGGCGGGCATGTTCGCAGCCCGTCAGGGATGCGTTTTACCCCCCTGAGACATTTCAACGTTCGATGTCATTTCAACGTAGTGGTCGTCGGGAGGGTGGGCATTTTGAGTTTGGGGGCCTTGCAAGGGCCAGGACCGCGGAGGAGGCTGAGGAGGCCGCGGTCCTGAAGCCTTTTTCGAAATTGAAACGGTGCGGGTGCACTTTTCTCGAATACCACAGTTTCCTCGAATAGAAAATGTACAGGTTGTATTCGAATACAACCTGTACCCTTTCTATTCTATTCGGATTTCGAAAAGAAAAACTCTTGTATTCCGATAAAATTACTTCTTCTTTTTGTTGGAGGTCAGCTCCTGCCCTCTTGCGCACCGCCACTGACATGTTGCATG